CATTGTTGAAGTACATGCAAGGGTGTGTGTGTTGAAATGAACCAAAGGCTGAAAAGAAATGAACGAACTATGGAACAGCATCAGACTGACCCCTTTTGGGGACTTTGACCTCCAGACCCCGTTCCCAGCCTCAAAACCAGAGCCACAACCAATGTGATGCAAAGGCAAGAAGTTGTGTCTCAGCTTTTGAGAAGTGATTAAACGGAAAATGGGAAAAGTTTCAAAACAGAGGCATAGAACACGATGGGCCATCGTTGCTAAATTGTGGGATTTAGACTCTGCCTTTTTATTTATTTATTTATTTTTGGTACCACAGATTGAACTCAGGGGCTCTCAACCACTCAGCCACATCCCCAGCTCTATTTTGTATTTCATTTGGAGATAGGGTCTCACAGAGTTACTTAGCACCTCACCTTTGCTGAGTATGGCTTTGAACTCATGATCCTCCTGTCTCAGCCTCCTGAGCCGCTGGGATTAGAGGTGTGCGCTACTGTGCCCAGCCTTTTATTCAGAATGCTAAGGACTCAAAGAGTATAGGATGGGGCTAAGGATGGATCCAAGGATGCTCAGGATTCTAAGCCAGTCTTAGATCCCTCTTTTCCAAACCCTCACTGCTGCTCCAGGTACCACTACCCAGTGTGGCTTCAGCAGGATTGCCATCCCCTGACCTCCTTACAAATGACAGCCCCCCCTCCCCTGGGACTCTCCTCTTTCCTCCAGTATCTGACATAGCCCTATGGTGGTGCACAGAACCTAACAGACAACAGACACTGATTCAGAACTATTTTATTTGAAGAAAATTTTCTTCTATAGTTCTAGTTCTAAACAAAATGCTGTCACTGTGAGTGCTTTGCAGGCATTGCGTTTAAATGAATCATGATAATGTTCACACTTTCAAGCCACACTTAGAATTAAAGACTCCGTACAACTTTTTTTTTTAACAAAGTATCAGTCAAAACAAAACAGAACTATTCATCCTACAGAATATCATTTTTCCTAAAATGACTACTAGATAGGAAAACATCATAGGGACGACCGAAGTGTCCCTATTCTGAAATTGTTTTTAATGACACAATAATGCAAATCACATTTTCCTTTTCTTTATCAATAATAAACCTTGGCAACCATTTGAAAAAGCACCAGCCAACCCTACAAAAGTGATTTCAGTACCCTTTGCTCTTCAAAATGGACCCTCTTTTGTGATTGTTTCCTGTAGGAATGGATCAGAACCGTGAGGGCAAAAGTGAAGCAGATGTGCACTGGTGTGCTGCGCCTTGTGTTCCCAAGTTCACACAAAAGGTGGGAAACAAACACTCTTTGGTGAATGAAACCGAAGGGTGGAAAGCTACTGTTGGATAATCATCACAAAGGCAGAATCAACTGATTTTAGTAGTGTCTGAGCGAACATTTATTAATCCCCCTCATGGGAGCGTGTTGGAGGCAAAGCTATACACACAGGCAGGCAGAGAGCAGGCTCTCTTCCCTCCTCCTTCCATCAGATCAAGTTGCCAAGCCCTCTGCTACAAAGGCTGTGATGCTTAGCTAATATTTCTAAATAAAGCAGATTACATGTGACTTAAAATGAAGTATAGAGATTATAGTAAGTAGTGAGGGAAAAAAATACGGTAAAAAACTAAACCACAGGATGGGATGTTTGAATTTAAAGAAAAACAGGTTCATGATGATGATGATGATGATGAAGATACCATGAAGTCAAAGACAGACTGTGGACCCAGACTGAAGAGGCTGCCAGACCAGAGCAATGTGCCCGAAAGAAGCTAACACCTTTGAGAAGAAAGCCCTGTTTAGACCATTAGAACAGACATTTACAAGGCTGTAAACTCTTCCAGGTCAGGGACTGTGGCTTACTATTCATGTGTTCCTGGTTCTCAGCATTATCTTGCTCTGATGAGACACTGAAGCATTTCTGGTAATCAGGGAATGGAGATGAATCCACTTGTTGCTTTGAAAGCCATTTCTCAAGGTACCTATTCATGCATTCAAGGCCTTAACTCCTAAAGCAGGGTTGAAAATAGGTTTCATTCCATTCTGATGGATGGGTAAGTGGTATCTGGAAGCATGGATTGGACATGGGTTCTGAGTGCGAATCCTGACCTAGGGAGGGAGGGCCACAATCCTTCATAATGTCACCTTGAAAGAACAGCAGCACAGAAGCCACACACTCTCTGCTGCTCATCTAGGAAAAGGCATCGAGATGCTTCCCTTTTCCCTTCACCAGGCTGCCTCTTAAGTGGTCTACATAAGCCACTCTTCACCGAATGCTGTTTGATAAGGAAAAACAAGGCTTTTCTCCTCAATTTACCTCTTGGCCAAACAGAAAGGATCATAACTTTACCTGGACATCAGAAAGCACTGCACCCTTGATGTTCAGTAAGCAACTGTTCATTGAAAGGAAACATTTACTTATTTGTTTTGTAGAGAGAAAGAGCTTTGTCTATCACACGATAGCTTTAATTAATATCTAAGGCATTTGGAATTACATGGGATTTTGGCTTTAAAAACTAATAAAGATGGCAGAGTTCAGTTCTCTTTGGTTTTCCTGCTTATGTCTTTCGCTTATTTCCTACTGGTATCCATGTCTCCTTAATACCTTATTATTATGACTTAACCAATACTGTCAAAAACAACCAACTCTTACACATCCATCAGAAAACCTTTTAAATGAGGCTAAAGAGAGAGACCTCTGAAACTAGGCGTTTTTGAAAGTAAAGTCAGAAGGAATGAAAGGAAGAAACAACAACCTCTCCTCCACCAGACCATCCTGTGAAGATGGGTACTTCTGGCCAGACAGCTTCCAACCGGGTCCTCCCAGCCACTTCCCTCCCCAGAGAGTAAGTCAGCACCCCTCAGGAGCATCTGGGGATGGGGGAGGATAAAGCATTTAGAGAAGGCGAATGGGAAGAAAATAGATATTAGCAAATTTAGTAAAGGACAGTCTTGGGATAAGGGGAGATTTTCATGGAAACATTGCCTTCATTATAGGCAGAGTCTTCAATATAATACTGGCACCAATGAGAGAGCGAGCTAAATAAAAACTACCCTCAAAATGTCAACACAGATGATGCGCACAGCAGGGTGATGTCATAAAAGCCACAGATCTGTTCCTATTACACATTCTATCTTTCACTGCTGGCAGCTGAAAACACAATCTTGTTAGGAGTCTGTGTATCTTAGAGCTAAAATATACAAGCATACACACACACACACACACACACACACCAAATCAAGCTTATAAAAGAGCTTTGTGGATCAGAGTTTACCTTCACTTGGTCCAAAAAATCTAATTGTCAGCATTAGGAAAATAGACCCAAAGTATGTAATCAGCAAGAGAATTAACTGGTTGGCAGAAATAATACTGTGGTTTATGTGATGTGATTATGTACAAATTAATCACCTGGGTTCATACTAAATCCACTGGCTAGTCTTCTGAACACCTACGACCTTAAAAAGTTAAACTCTGTAGCAACAAAAATAAATTAGACTTTAAAAGATACATCATGAAAATAGAGGTCACTAGAAATTCAATTCTACAATGTCTATAACTTAAAATGAATCTATTCGTTAAGTATCATTCCTGGGATGATTTCAGTTCAAAGTTGCTTAGAAAGGGAAAAAAAAAAGAAAGCTTAGTACTTGAAAATCAATGGGTATGGCTTAGAAACCCTTAAACAGTGCTATAAGTAGACTACTAATAGAATTATTTGCTGACAAGATACAAAGATTTATCTCCTTGCCCAAAATAAAGGCTTAATCATTTTTGCCTAATATTTCTGGAAAGTCATGCAAATGGGATTTTTGTAACCAGATACTTGAGGCCATGGTTGTAAAGTAACCCTGTAGTGACTGCTTCAACGAACTGAAGAACTCTGGAGCGACTGTTCTCCTTACTGCATCTGCACGGTGAATGGCATGCTGGAGGCACACAGTGTTTGGGAACACGTTTATCTACTGTGACGGTTCTGTTTTTCTAAGGGGCTTTCTTAAGGAGAGGCACGCTGTGACTAAAGTGGTTTTGCCTGCCATTAGTGCAGAAAGTTGGACTCTGGCTCACAGTTTTACTGATTCCATTACAAAATACCAGATAACCTCAGAAAATGTTTTTCAATCAAAATAAAATTTCCATTAGTATGGGTATAGAGTTTTTCGTTGGTGCTTAGTGCTGGGGATTAAACCCAGGCCCTCAAGTATGTATGGCTAGTCATGCACTTGGCATACTCTACCCGAGTATATATTTGTAAAGGAATGTTGATCTATGATTGGCAGAAGCTTTTACTCATTGTTAACTGACTTAATGAAATTGCTTGAGTTGTTCACTGCTATTGCTGTGTGGGCCACCTGGGTTCACAACTAAGGTAAGTCAAGCATCTTACCTAATTTCAGAAAGACCACCAGAGGTGGTCAGGGGTGATGGCAAACACCTGCACTCCCAGTGACTCGGGAGGCTGAGACAAGAGGATGTCAAGTTTGAGGCCAGCCTGGGCAACTCAGTAAGACCCTGTCTCAAAATTTTTAAAAATGGCAGGGGGTGGAGAGCACAGTGGGGATGTAACTCAGGGTAAAACACTCTTGGGTTCTATCCCCAGTAGCAGAGGTAAAAAAAAAAAAAAAAAAAAAAAAAAAAAAAAAAAACAACCACTAGTGGCCATTTCTCTCTTCTTCCTCTCTTTCTAGCACAAATGTTTTACAGCCACCATCACCTTAATCCACAAAAGCAAAACGTGAACTACAAAGCTAAGATTAGAAAGGTATCCTGATTTAAACGTGATAAACAAAAACTAAGTCAAATACATTCAATAAAAGGAATTCTTAAAGGCAATTTTTTTTCTTATTTGGTATTTCCTTCCCTTCCTATACAAGATTCAATTTTAAAAATATATGTTTATAGCCATCCTTTTAAACAATATACCCTCTCTTTTAAACAACACAGTAGGCCTAGAAATGCAATTTATGTGATCCACATAGATCTGCAATATGCCACATATGAAGTAAAGAGGTTTTATCAATCTATTTATTTTGTCATTCATAACTGAAAAAAAAAAGATAAGAAAACTGAGAATGTTTTAAACAAATTTTGGGTGGACTGACTCTTGCAAGGATTCACTCTAGGGTTCCATCATTGGAGGTTTCCTGAAAAGTAGTGTGCAAATAAAATATATGAACATGGAACCCTATTTTAAACACATTAGAAGTACCTGTGGGTAAGACGGGGAGAGGAGGGAGAATAACAAAGTTATTATCAAGTAAATTGATAATTTAAAGTCTCCTACTTAAGGTACTACTGATATTTAAAGTGACCTAAATAAAACAGATTTTAAAATCATCTTTACCATTCATGTCTATCATTGACTTTGGCCCTTTACCAAGCAGACCCAATGAATCCACTTACTTTTTTTAGTGGTGCTGGGGATTGAACCCAGGGCCTTGTGCATATGAGGCAAGCACTTTACCAACTGGGCTATATTCCCAGCCCCTGAACCCATTTTTTAATGCTAAGTTTCCATCACTGACCCAAGAATATTGTGTTTGGATGAAAACATTATCATGGATTTGTTCCCATAATTTAAAAATCAATAATTTAAAAAATAATAAAGTTGGTCTCTTTTTCCACAAGTTTTCAAGTAAGCTTATTTACAGCTGCTACTGGTATATATCCGTGACCTACTCTAGCCCACATTTTTTTCCCTTTAGAAATCAGTCTCCCTTTGTTGTTTTTTGTTTCTCCTTTTTTTGGTCTTGAACCAGGTTTGTTTGAAGTACGAAGTCAATTCAGTCATGTTTCTGCTTTATTGGGCAGATAAAGAGAAGAAACCAGCAAGTTATGTCCAAAGGCTGGGAATCGCCGAAATGCTTCCCAGCTATCTGAAAAGATATTGTACTTGAGGAAAACTCGGTGCTCCAAGCTGGTGGACAGGGTCACGTCCCTGCTCATGATGTAGATGCCGTCATTGTGGAGCGCGCAAGTCAAGTTAAGCCCGGATTTGGATGTGTTCTCCTTGAGGTAGAGCCACTGCCGGGTGACAGTGTTGTAGGACTGCACAGTGAGCATGTCCTCGCTCTGGCTGCTCCTCCGGTTGGGCCCCAGTTCGTGGAGACATCCCCCCACAATGTAGATGGTTTCCTCCACAGACACCATCTGCTGCTTGCGAATGTGAACATCACATGTTTCAAAGAGCGTCCAGATGTCTGAAGAGGGGCAGTACTGCAAAATGTTCATGTTTCGGTCTGAAACACAGAAAGAAGCAAATGATGACAGCCATCAGCAACACTGTAGATGACCCAGGCCGTACATAAACCTCTTCCTCGGTGTGCATAATTCCGTCACAAGGAGGAAAAACCCTTTCAGAAAAACAGGTTTGAGAAACAGTTTTCCAAATGGCTGGGAAAAGATACATTTGGGTTCATCCCAATCTACCTCCTGGAAATGCAACTATACAATGAATATAACTTAAAATAAATCTGTTCTTTAAGTATCATTCTTGGGATGATTTCAGTTCAGTTATTAAGGAAAAAAAAAAGCTTAGTATTTGAAAATAAATGGATATGGCTTAGAAACCCTTGAACAGTGTTATAAGTAGACTACTGGTAGAATTATTTGGTGAAAATAATTTAGAAAATATTTCAGAAAAATAGGCTCATGTGCTTCCCCCCCAGCCCCGGCCCCCCTTGAGAGTCTTAGAGCCAGAGAAACAGCTTTGATTTAAATATAGTCCCTCCTCGCTGGTACCTTCACTCCTGTGAACTATCAGGTCAGGTCAGTGCAGGGGAATCAAACCCAAGATCTTATACCTGCAAACCCAGCCCTGAAGATCCTATCCTGGACAGCTGACCCTAAGAACACAAGTATCTACAAGCTCAGCAGTATCTACAAGGACTGGCAAGAGGAAAGGACACAAAGTTACAAGTCAAGAGAAATGTCAAAGAGTCTCACCTTCTGCCTTGTAACAAGCTACAGACTCACCTGGCTATTCTGCTTCCCAGTTGTAACACAGGAGAAAAAAACTAAGAAAGGCCCACCCGCCCCTGCCCACTTCTAAAGAGATGGTTAATTGTGTGGATGAAATCACACTTGAAAGGTCTCTCTAATATTATTTCTAATTAATAGCTATTTTCTTTAGGGAAAAAGGTTGCCTCTTCTCTCTTTGAAAAGAGCCTGTGAAATTTAGAATATCTAGCTTTTATTTCCTTGGTACTGGGGACTGAATCCAGGGACACTCCACCACTGACCTACATTCCCAGACTAGCTAGTTTATTTATTTTTGCAGTGCTAGAAATTAAACCCAGGGCCTTATGGATACTAGGCAAGTGCTCTACCTCTGAGCCTCATCCCCAGGCCCTCATCTTATTTTGGAGACAGATTCTCAATAAATTACCCAGGCTGGCTTTGAACTTGCAATCCTCAAGCCTCAGCCCCCCAAGAAGCTGGAACTACAGGCATGCACCATAGCACCAGGCCTAGCTTTTCTTTTTCTTTCTTTTTTTTTTTTGGGGGGGGGGGAGGTGGGTACAGGGGATTGAACTCAGGAGCACTCGACCACTAAGTCCCATCTCCAGCCCTATTTTTTTTTAAGTTGTTAATGGACCTTTATTTAATTCATTTATTTATATGTGGTGCTGAGAATTGAACCCAGTGCCTCACACATGCTAGGTAAGTGCTCTGCCATTGAGCCACAACCCCAGCAACCCCCCTCCACCTGCACCCGCCAGCCCTATTTTATATTTTATTTAGAGAAGAGTCTCATTGAGTTGCTTAATGACTTGCTTTTGCCAAGGTTGGCTTTGAACTTGCGATCCTCCTGCCTCAGCCTCCTGAGCACAGGCGTGTGCCACTGTGCCCAGCTAGCTTTTCTTTTCTTTTTTTTTTAATTGTTTTTTCCTTTTCTCCTCTAAGAAAGAATAAATGTAATATTTTAGTCTCTGAGGAAAAAGAGTGTTATGAGTTATCAGAAAGAATGAACTTTCTGTTTGTTGTTAAACAAACAACAAAAACTCAGGAGTGGAGGGGCAGATCAACTTGGGACTTGGATCACTATTAAAGCATACAGCATTTCAATGGCTACAGAAGCTGTTCAGAAGACAGCTCATTTTCTCAAGGATTTGCCTCTTCCTTCAGCACCCCCCTCTTGAGAAAGAAGGGCCCACCCAGAGTTAGCAATGCTTAAAGAGCTCCACAGCCACATCTGGTCCAGCCAAAGAGCCTCCCAGGAGGGCATGCAGACAGACCACGTCCTACGTGGGCAACTCTGTGTACTATAGAAATTCTAGAATTATTACAGCTTCAGGAAACTGTCCTGATTGATATCTTTGCATATTTCATTTTACTGTAGCCTCTGTGGTAAAACCATTCTAGGAGAGGGGTTTGAGGGAGTTTGGCCACTCATCTGCTAAAAAGTGCTCCTGACTTAGTAACTAGACTCCCCACTAAAGGAATAAAGGACTTATTCTAGTGACAATCCCACTGATTTCTTAGTTCAGGCAACAAGGTCTCTCCAGGTCTTCTGTAGAGTTCTTTGTCCTCACTCAGCACACTTAGACTATGTACTGAGGTGATCTTGAGTTGGTGGGATAATCTTTTCATTTTTACATTTAAACTTGATTTTGAAGTTTCACAAATCGTCCTTCTTCCCTCTGTGGTTACTATGACTTTCTGTTGAATTCTTATTTCTTTAGTGCTTGCCAAAGAATTAAAAAATCAAATAGCTATTTTGAAGTTATGAATTATTATTTATTGAATTTTAAAAGCCTCACCTAACTTAAGTAGTAGGCAGGCTAAGAACGCAGCTTTAAGTTCTGATATATATTTTTCCCATAACAACTGGGATGACTGAACTACAGGGAACTCTTACAAAGAGCTGGGAAAGCCCATGCAGAGGAGGAGGGCTTCAGAGTGCAAGTAACTGCCCTGAACTCTCATCTTCGAAAACACTTTTGTTTTCAAGACTTACACAAACACCCATCCACCCACATCAGCTAACCATCCCATCATGGTCTTTGGCATTTGGAATCCAGGGCAGAAATCACGGTGGGTGGCCCAAGTGAAGAAGGCTCACTAGCAGTGGCTTGTAATGCTACCAAACACACAAGAAGGGCTTTCCTTCTAAAGGACATTTGCTCAGCCAAGGTCATGGAAAAACCAGGAAATCTACCAGCAGAGTATTGTTCAGGCACTGGTGCTCAGCAGTTCCTGGTGATAAGAGAAGTTGAGGAAGTTGAGAAGTTGTGTCAGGCCACAGGATGCATTCCGCATTACTCAGTCTAGGGAGGAATCGGGATTCTTAAAACTGCTTATAGATATATAACAGTTTACGTGCCTGGAGACAGGAGATTGGGGTTGGAGAGGCCATGTATCGGAGCATAGAAAGTTGTTCACTGAAACCTAAATAAACACCAAGGTTGAAGGTAAAAGAAGTATCTGCTAAGTCTCATATTTTTTCAATTATTTGCAAAGAAAAAACTGGCAATTACTTTCAGCAGAAGGTCACTAGAGAGGAAATAGCTTCACAAGTGATGACAATGTGGAGTGAAAAAGGGCAGGGGGTGAAGCTGGGGATGCAGCTTACAGGAGGCCCTGGGTTCAACCCCAGCACAGCAAAGCAACAACAAAGCCTTACTCCTTCCAATGCACTCCTCTGCCACCACCTCTCCTTAAGTGTGTGAATACACATACCACACGTAGTAGGTTGAATGGTGGCTCCCCCAAAGATATGTCCACCCACTAATTCTTGAAACCTGGGAGTATATCCTTATTTGGGGAAAAAAAATCTTTGCAGATATAATTAAGGACCTTAAGATCACTCTGGATTACACAGGTGGGACCCTAAATCCAATAACTACACTTATACTAGACAGAAAAGAAGATGCACATGGATAAGAAGGCCACGTGAAAACGGAAGGCAGGCTGGCGTTACATAGCCACTAGCCAAGGAATAACACAAGTGGGGGAAAAGGAAGGAAGAATTCTTCCCTAGAGCCATTTGAAGGAGCAGGACCCTGCTGATAACTCTGATTCTGCCTTTTGGTCTCCAGAACCACGAAGAAATACATTTCTATTGTTCTAGACTCTCAAGTTCATGCTAATTTGTTACAGCAACAACAGGAAAATAATATACAACCCATCATCCTCCCCACTGAATCAACATTTAAAAAGTATCAAAATATTCTGTCACCAAAAAAAAAAGTCAATCAAAATACTTGGCATTTAATTTCTTCCTCTAACATAAGTCCCCCAAACAAGACATTTGGATATGGTGAAAAGAATTTTTGTCATCTATTTGAATTCTATACTAGCACATGGATTTCTGCCCTTTAGGAAGTGGCATATGGCTGCTCGTGGCCTAAAAGAACCTTTTCCATGCCTGTGACCAGGCTGAGTTAGACAGCTCTGTCCTGCCCACACTGTACCATAAAGAAGCATTAGGTTATTTCACTATGTCAAATTTAATGGTAACTCTACTATTCAAGTGTGGCTAAAAGACCTGAGTCCAGTAATACCTTCCTGTAAGTTTTGGAGTCTATACAGTCAAACAGATCAAACACAGAAATTTCCCTGGCCAAGAGATAACTTGGAGACAACTGCTTTAAGGAACAGGGTGGGGGGTGGGGGCAGGTAAAGGAAAGGACACCTCTCCCTGGCTATCCCTCGTTGTTGTCCCTCTCACAACATGCTGTTTCCACCACTGTTACCTGGGATGCTCCCTACCAAGTACAGCAGGATAAAACTTGCTGGAAACATGGTTTATTTTCAAATTACTAATTATAAAATGACATCCAAAACAAAGTGAAAAGTGGGGCTGGGGTGCAGCTCAGTGGTAGAACACTGACCTAGCAAGTGCAGGGCCCTCAATTCAATCCCCAGTTCAAAAAAAAAAGAAAAAAGAAAAGAAAAAGAAAAGGAAGGAAGGAGGAAAGAGAAGAAACAAAAGGGAAGAAGAAAATATACTGAGCAGTTTCAACAACAAAGGGCTTCCCCAGAGTCAGGCGTGTGGTGCATCCCTGCAGCTACTTAGGAGTCTGAGGTGGGAGGATCACTTGAGCCCAGGAGTTAGATACTAGCCTGAGCAACATAATGAGATCCAGTCTCAAAAAATGAAAAACACATGTACAGTTTAATAGCACAATTGCCTCTTACTGATCAAGAAAAGAATTCTCTAGTATTGACGCACCTCCTAGGACCAATATGAACAATGTGCAAGAGCTGGGCTTCAGGAACCATACCTGACGTGCTTGTACTCATGAAAGGAGCAAATGAAAGCCCACATCTGCCGGAAGGCAGCAGCACCTCAGTGCTGGGTGGGTGGACTGGGTGTGTTTGGGAGAAGGATTCTCAGCTAAAGAACCCTTACAAAGACCTCCCACCCAGAGAGCACCTGAGACCCAAACGACCTCTACAAACCAGGTCCAATCAGGTCATAGCTGACCACAGGCGGTGTTTTCAGAAATATAAGGAAAATATATTTTCTTCATGGCTTCCCCTACCCTATTGGAACTTTCACACTCACAAAGTCATCAAAGGTCCCTCCAATCTAAACCACCCGTCATATGGATTCTCCTTCCTTCAGATGTGTACATATATAATCAATGTATAAAATCACACTCAGCATTCCAGAGTTTCCTCAGCACCCTCCTGCCCTCCCCCAGGCTACTGAAGCTTCTACACAGAACCCTCACTTGGCCCCTCCACTTACCTCTGGTAGTATATCCTCCAATGACATAAATTTTCCCCTTACACTCACACGCAGAGAATTCGGCCAGAGGATTTGGTAAGGGTGCCACAAAATTCCATGCATCCTGCTCAGGATTGTAACACTCAACATTAGAAACGGCCTGCCCGCCAATGGCATAGAGTTTTGAATTAACAGCCACGAGTTTGAAGTTAGACCTGAAAAAGAGACACAAGGGACCATTAAAGTCAGTTCTTCTGATCATGAAGGACGACGATGACGACGGTGTGAACGGCTAAAGCAGAGTGTGGAACCTGCGAGCCAGCTACAGAAAATTAGCTCTCCACGTTGGGGGCCATCCTCCCTGAGGACAGAGGAATGAAAGGACTTCTCATGCTTTACTCTTGTCCCTCAGGCTTCACAGGGATAGCACTTCGTTCCAGCATTAGCAACTGAAGATGAGCAGTTCAATATAACAAGTACTAATCTGGCTCAGCTTCAGGCCAGGAACTGAAGACACTTTATACACTAAAACAGTCGATGCTCTAGGCCCACAGGTTTTACAACCACGGATTAAAAATATTTGGGGGAAAAACTGCATTTACACTAAATGTACAGACTTTGTTTTCTTTGTCATTTTCCCCTAAAAAACGCAGCACAACAATTATTTGCATAGTGTTTACACTATATTAGGTATCATAAGTTATTAGAGAGAAAGATGTGCACAGGTTTTATGCAAATACTGTGTCATTTTAATATTAGGGACTTGAGCACCTACAGATTTTGGTATCTGACAGGGTTCTGGAGCTAATTTCCCATGGACACTGGGAGATGACTGTACTTTTTTTTCCAGGGCAGAGTAAATGATAAGGGAGAAAAGCAACCACCCGCCCTTGTCTTTCTCCTCTCAGAATAGTTATCTGTTCTTCCTGCTGAGCGGGATGGCTCTATCTTGGTAGATATAGGCACTGCCTACAAGGACAGGCAGAGACCAAGGTGGCTGGGGAGAGCCCCTTACTACCAATATGCCTGTTCCATTAACCATTCACTGGCACTCCACCTCCACCACAGGGAATCTCACAGATTGCTTCACAACTTACAAATAAGGAGATTAAGCACTAAACTGATTAAAAACACTCCGATCCTGCCAGACGCACTAGCGCATGCCTATAATCCCAGGAGCTCCGGAGGCTGAGACAGGAGGACCGCTAGTTCAAAGCCAGCCTCAGCAATTTAGTGAGGCACTAAGCAACTCAGTGAGACCCTATCTCTAAATAAAATACAAAATAGGGCTGGGGATGTGGCTCAATGATAGAGTCCCTGAGTTCAATTCCTGGTACCCCCCCAAAAAAAATAAAATTAAAATAAACTGGTTTGAAGCATCATATCCCATATAAAATTAAACACTATTCATAAGCCTCAGATACTAGATAAGTCTCATGACTTTTGAGTTGAAAGGTAAGATAAAATCAATTTGTTTCAATGAGCATATGGGACTCACGGGTCCTCTGAAAGCCAGGAAGGATAAATATTTGGGAGTGCTGAGTCAGTTGGCTGTGATACATGCACCCGTCACAAGTGAACAAGAGGCTGAGGAGCAACAAGAGGCAACTGGAAAGGACCTGGCCTCAAATCAGGAACCCCCAGGTCAAGATCCAGCTCTGCTGACAGCCACCTAACTCAGCCTGACTCAGACCAATTCACATCCTAGTCTCTAAGGTAGGATGATTTCCATCACAAGGGGTCACAATGTTTACCTCAAATGCTCATCAGGTACTGAGATAGGACACTGGGTTTTTAAATTTTATTTATTTATTTATTTTAGGACAGTGTTTTTTGACATTTTTTTGCTTTCTGTTGTGCGAAATACAGATGCTAGGTCAAGTGAATTTGCAGGCCAACACAAGGCTCAAAAATAACAATATGCTAGGAAGGAATGGGACTACAAAAGGAAAACAAAACAAAATTATGTAAGAGTAGATCACGAAGCAGCAGTAAAGAGGCTTGAGCTTGGTCTCCTGATAGGTGTTCCATAAACACGGATGCCTCGTGAGACAGAAGAGACGTTACTAATAACCTACTAAAAAGTTAAGATTTTTAAAGGGTGCCTATGATGTTTACCTTTAAAATGTGTTTTCATTTAGTTTTATTTTTCAGATCAGAGAGTGAACAGAGTACTCTTCAACAAGAGCTCACACTGTCCATTAAACCCAGCCAGCCATTCAGTCTCTCATGCCAACAGACTCCACCAGGGTGGCAGTTCCTGGGGGGTCCCTGATTCATGCTGCTTGCCTTTCCTGCTGCCAATGGTCCTTAAAATCCAACCAAGGTGCCCTCTCTGTGTGTGCAAATTTGGGGAACCAAAGGAAGTCAAGCTAGTAAATAAGCACTAAATTTTACCAGCCCTCAATTTGTTTTTGCTCCCCAAAGGTACACAGATAGTAAATTTTGTAAGATCAAAACAATTTTTGCTATTCATTCAGCATGATCATTTGTCCTAAGCAAACAGGTAAGGGGCTTCTTTCTGAGGCTGAGTGACTAAGCAGTTAAAAAGTAAACAATTCCATTTCTCGGCATCCCAACCTGCTCACACTGATTTAAGAGAAGAGAAATACTTTACTCATGTGGGATTTAAGATGAAACTGCCACCTCAACACAACCACCATTGAAGAGGCATACCATAAGGGTTCTAACTCCAGGCTTGCACAGAAAAAGCTTATTGCTGAACATCTTGAAGGCCTTGGGACATCACCAAATCTCAGTTTATCTGTGCCTCAGTTTTTCCATCTGAGAGGTGGGGATAAGAGCATAGTGTCTGGCACTCAGTAAGGGGTGAAAAGGACAGCACTTGCAGAAAGAAGTGCCACTCTCTGTTGGCACTCTGGGGGTGCTTTTCTGTGTCCTAAGGCTGTGTTTCTCGAACTTGGGAAGGTTGGTTTCTTATTTGTCAACTGCAGCAGTCACTGGCCAGGATATACGTGGAACTCTGTAAAGTGCTCTCTCATCTACAGATTCTTGCCATTTGGCACCTCATTTCCAACTTCCCAAAAATACTTCTAGTCTTCAACCCCTGAAGTGTAAAGATGCACATCCAAGCTGTCAATTACTTTTATTTATTTATTTTTTGGTGCTGGGGATTAAACCCAGGATGTTCTACCACTGAGTTATACCGCCAGCCCTTTCCATTTTTTTTTTTTTTTTTAATTTTGAGAAAGGGTCTCACTAAGTTGCCCAGGCTGGCCTTGAACTTTCAAACCTCCTGCTTCAGCCTCCTGAGTAGCTGGGATTAAAGGCATGCACCACCTGACTGGCATATCAATCACTTTTAAAAATGATCATTTCTACAGTGTTTTCCTCATATTGATCCCTAATATACTATGGTTAAAAAAATTTAAAACCAAATTACAAGTAATTTGTCATGGCTACATACTTGATTCACTTAATTAATGGAAATATATAGAAATGCAAATGAGAAAAATTAGAAAATACAGCAATTTAATTTCTACTTCACTTACAAGAAATAAAAAGCTCTTTAGGGCCATATGTGTGGTACACGCCTACAATCCCAACTACTTGGGAGGCGGAGGCAGAAGGATCACAAGTTCAAGGCCAGACTAGACAACATGGTGAGACCCTTTTTCAAAACAAAATTTTAAAAAAGTTCAGAATGTAGCTCAGTGCCCAAGTCCCTGGGTTCAATCCCCAGAACCACAAAACCAACCAACCAAGGAACAAATAAAAATACAATAAGAAGAAAACTCTTCAGGACAGCGACACAGTCCCCAGCACCAATTAAAAAAAAGAAAAAAAGCAACCTCTTCAAATCCTCATGTAACCTGAAACATGCTAAATCTAGTGCACAGATATCAATGATTAATATACAACCACAGGTAGGCACGGTGCCACAGATATATCCAAGCTGCTTAGAGCCTCGCCTTGTGATCCTATGGAGATTAATTCAACTCTTCGAACCTCAGTTCTCTCTTTGAGAAAAAGGGGTCATTAACAGGACCTCTCTCACAGAGATGCCGTGAGCATGAAGTATGAAGTGGGACCTGAGTAGTGACCACAAGCCCTGACCCAGAAGAATATCAGGAAATGTAAACCACCGTGGTAACTTACTCCACAGAGAAGTTTGCTAGAGTCAAAATTTGGGTGAAAAGCTAGGATCCTTTCCCAACCACACAGGTGATGACCATTTAGTGTGCAGGCCATCTGGACCCTCTCGTCCCACCCTTTCTCCTTCCTCTGCTTGCTGTTTCCCTATGTAGTAACCTCCCCACCTCTGAGAAATTCAAAAGCAAAAACACAAATTGCAATTTATACTGTTGGTTACAATTAAACTGGGGGAGGGATGAACAGACAACCCTTTGCTTTGCACTATTCCTGCATTCACTGCAACCACCACCATGGTGGGTAAAACCTGCCAAAGCTTCACATTTCTAGAAATGCCCTGCCAATATTTAAGCTGGCTGTGAGGATCAGGGACAGCTTGGGAAGCATTGGGACTGACCACTGTGATCCCATCTCTGCCGGGGAAAAGTGTTTGTGAAGTCTGTCCCTAAACCTGCTGTGCTCACTTCCAGCAGGAAGACACACCCTAGCTCCATGTTCAGAGCAAAAGTTCAGTGTCGTGGAAGAGACCAGAGACGACTTTGAAAAGCAGAACACTAATAAACCTACTGCAGTAACAGTGGCCAGTTCCTGCAAGTTATTGCTAATTAAAGCGAGGAGGGAAAGCAATTTTGTGGTCACACAAGCTTTTACATGATGAGTTATATCCCGAAGACTCCTGAGATCAAATTCCTGTTCAGACAATAAGGCAGTGTTGCACCCCTAAACTTGAAAGAGACCTCTCAAAGAATGATACTCACTTGCATTGTCCTTTTCAAGCAAGTGGGCGCAGTGCTCAAGGTTTCTTTCTTACCCACTGCTGGTCACACGGCACCATGTTCTGCAGGTGCAAAGAGCTATATAAAAATCTTTCAATTCTGTCATTGAAGATTCTGGATCACTGCTTGGTTCAGTTCCCAGGGTAAGTGCGCCACTCAGAATTTGACCCCTTCATCAAAGTAAAAGTCAGTATGGACACATCCCAAAAGCAGTCATTGCCAAAAGTGAATCAAGGTAGATTTGAAATGCTGTGTAGCCAGAGGCCAAAACCTGTCTTTCTCACTCAGGGTTCCAAATTTCTTCCAGAGAAGAATCTGTCCTGAAT